CACCGAACCACACATGTGTGCTTGTGTGTGTGTGTGGGGGGGGGGGGGGGAGCGTCTGTGTTCGTGTACGTGCGAAACGGCCGATAATAAACCTTGGCACAGCTACCTGCAGAGCAATCATGGCTGAGAAAACAAGAGAGCACTCATGCAAAAGGGCTTGATCAGAGCCCTGCCCGGACTACGGGTGTAATGTACAACCAGTTCGATTGACGTCAACGTAGGTCAGGGTGAAGGACACCGTTCTTCATCAGTTTTGAACTGACAGAGCACAAAACAAACTGTGTATCCTTATATATTTATATGGTTACTTATAAAATATAAACGTTAGCAATTACTGAGAAAACAAAGGGAATGGAAACATGTGGTAAAACAAGTCATGTCATAAAATGAACTTGCATGCACAGAAGAAGAGTTCCCCCTATATGCACAAGAGTGTTCAAAGGGATGAAATCGCTATACATTCACATGAAAATAAAGAAAAGAACTGTATTTAAATAGTCACAAAGAACACACATAGAGTCCAGCTTGAAGATCTTCAACAGAATAATTCTATGTCAACCCAGAAAGCAGCATATCGGATATCGTCATAATAACAGTTGCAGACATAGTGCTGAGCCTATGAATATTTTAACAAATAAAAATTTTAAAGATTGTAGTAGTATGAGGACGAAGTTAGATCAACAATGTAATATTTCTCTTGAAGTGAGGTAATTTTGTCACAGAGACAGTACACAATCAATACCATAGCAGTATTGCTTTTCAGGTACATTGTAGTAGAATCAAGTGCTTTTTCTCATGCTGCAAGCAATTGCTATGCACACAGGTTTGTGGTTGGTGAGTGTTTTTGTTATGTTTTAGAGAAACGAACATCTGCATGCTGTCCTGCAAAGATTCTCAAAGAGGAAGACTGTAAGCGCCACCTCTACTTGTATGTTAACACAGCAGCAAAATGATTAGTTCTTCTATATTTTAACAATAGGGTTCATCCCCTCTTTTTTTCACTCTGGAAGTCAATAAAATTATCTCAAACAGGTACGAGAGCGATGAAGAGGAAAAACATTTCTCAACCACAATGTTTAAAGAGAACAAAATGATGACCAGGACTCTCAACACCTGAAAGTGAGAACTTTTTTTTTGTCACAGCCCACTTTTTCAGTAAAAACACCTACCTATAAAAAATTATTACATTCCTAACCTGACACATTCAATTGTCAGATTTAATTTTGAGAAAGCGAAAATATCCTTTATTAAAAGGTTGGAAACCCTGCATGAGGAACAGAGAACTCAGGGCACAAACAATAGTTAGTAAGAGTCATGTGGACAGCAGTCCAATTAATTGATGATATTTCTGGTGATCAGTGTTTTCCCTGTTTGAAGTCGATCGAACTATTCTTACTCTTAGACCATGGACCCCTGCATTGTTACATCATTGTAAGTCAGTTTATATGCCCAACATTACACAGCACTAGATTTAAACAACACAGACAACTTACCCCCCCCCCCCACCCCAATAAATTAGCAAATAGTCATAGTGTGATGGTCCAAGTCTAATGATGTGCTAAAGATCTATTATAAAAATGCCATTGAGACAGAGGTAAGAGTTTTCTTTCATCATCTATTTCATCAGTCCACACTAAATCCTAAATATTTAAAAACCTTGCCAAACGACGATACCAAATCTAAAGTAAAGTGACTCAGGCTCTCTTTGGGAGAAGTGGTCCAGGCCTAACTCCACAGAAATCTAGAGTGCTCTCGTGGCCTAGAGGTTAAGGTGTTCCCCTCTCATTCAAAGGTCCTGAGTTCGAAATTGTCTTCTTTCACCTCCTTTCCTTCTCTCTAGAAATGTTCTGTCGTCTACTTTCGTCTCCACTTTCTGCTCCCACCCCCTCACCTCCTTTGCCCCCTCCTTTGGGCTCCTGACTCTTTCTGTAGCCTTTCTACTGCTACTCCTTGGTTCCTTCTTACTGCCGTCTTTCAGCCACACCCCTGACCTTCTGGTAGAAAAGATCTACACGTAGATTTCTCAGAAAAATCACAGAGGTCCTGTGTGCAAGTTGCGCATGATAAAATCCCTTGGAGGTCTAAAATCGATAAGAGTAGGCTTCTGCCGCCACCCAGGCAAAATTTAAAATTTCCTGCCAAATGAAAATGTATGATATGACACTGTGCAGTTGCGGGTGCCGTAAAACACTTACCAAAAAAAATAATAATTTATACATTATTGGAAACAAAAAAGAAAGACGCATTCATAAAAAAAAGGGGGGGGGGGGGGGAGTGTGCAGGGGATATATTCCCACTGCAAAAGGGGGAGGGGGTTATGAAGGGTGGTGGTCTCCTCCAGCTAAATTCACAAAAGTAATGGTTTGTGATAGTTTTTAGTGGCAAAATTGTTCTCAGCACACTAAAACAACGTTAAAATAGTGCCGAAAATAGTCTAAAACGGGTTTGGACTTTTTCTAAATTTAGCGGTGGCTTTTTCACCCTGGCAACTCAGTCAGCTTTTTACTTGACTTCCATTTTTGTTTCCGATTTTGTGTAAATTTCTACGGTGCGGTTAGGCCAGGACCACTTTTTCCGAAGAGTGCCACTGACTCATCATATTTTTTTCCTGACTCCTGTCTCGCCTTAGCTGAAGTCAAATATATATATATATATATAATACCAAAATAAACCTTGGCTAGGCATTATCTTTTCCCTTGAGTATTTTTAGGAAGGCGAAGGACAGGCTCGAAAGGCAGTGCTGTATGAATAGTACCTTACGGAAAAGTCCTTCCACGGAATTAAACGCGAGCAAATAAACAATTTAATTACCCTATTCTAGGATGGTTTGTAGATCTAGAATCTAGATCTAATCTAGATCTACATCTAGATTCTAGATCTAGATCTAGATCTAGATCTAGGATGGTTTGTAGATCTAGAGAAATCTAGTTTGCTAGAGTTAAAAAACCAAGTAAGAATCTGGGATCCAGATCGAATGAGAACTGGATCTAATGGCTTTAAAATTAAGTGTTAGTGTCACTGTTAGAGACTCTCTAGGGCCTTATCTAGAATCTATATATCTAGATCTAAATCTATAATCTATTTTAGCTTTAAAATCTACACGGGTATCCAAGACTCAAGCAAGAAAATGGGTAAAACGAAGACGTAAACTTTAAAATTCAATGAATTCAATGGGACGTCTGAAGATTAGATTCTAGGGACTGGCAACGTTTAAATTTAAACATCTTAGATCTAAATCTAGATCTAGAATCTAGTACACCTAGATCTAGACTAGATCTAGATATAGATCTAGAATTCTAGATATCTAAGATCTAAGTCTAGATTAGTATAGGCCAACTTACCTCACTGTTGTAAAGTTTCCGTAGTTCATCAAAAATCCACATTTCCACGCGCAATCTCTTCTTTATCAGTAACATCTGATGTTGGCCATACTTTGCAGTCAAATATTTCTTTTTCTTCTCAGTGTGTTGATCTTTCAAAGTAAATCCCACATTTCTCGGTGATCCATCGGATGCCATCTTTGAAGGTGCTTTGTAGCTTTCCATCGGATTTCCTTTGCTGTACGTTGCACTGTCACTGTTCGCTCCTCCCCCGTCTGTGTACGGTGTAGCCATAACTTCGTAGAAGCCAACAGTTTTGCCTTTGCGGAATGGGTTCCGGCTCATGCTGAACTATTTTTCCTGACTCTTGACCTACAAGATTAATAAAAACGTTTAAAAGGTCATTGTCATGAATAAAATTAAAAACATATTTTGATGCCTAATATACTCTTTTACAAAACATCTAACTTTAGTTTCAGAGCGTTTTTTAACTGTTTGTTAGTACTTTCGACAACCGTGTTTACATACAAATCCATACGCCGAGCGAAGGGAGTTGCTGCGTGAAACGCCGGAAGTATTGTTGTTGCAAATGGCTTCTGCTATCATAAACACTGTCGCTATGAGGTACCTACTTGTTTTGTTGCTTGTAACTTTCAAGCCTATTTATTCGACCAAAGAATTTGTCTCCCATGGTTCGTCAAATTCAGACGAGTCTCGGATTTTAGATGTGATGAAGAGGCTGGGGATTAAGGACATCAGTGATTTAGAAACCGAGTTGAGTGATTCAACCTTCCGATCCCCAGCTGGGCAGACAGATACATGCGAACCGTCAATAGATACAGGGACCATCATAAGGGCATCTGAATCCATCGACGCAGGAGCTGAATTTATCAACTCCGTCAAAGATGTATCATCCAACAGTGCGTGCTACAACTTATGTTGCAAGAACACTTCCTGTGATGTTGCAGTTTACCAAGACAAGGTTTGTGACAAAGCCCCCATTTCAGCTTCCACCACCAGTGCCACCAGTCTCTTCCCCCAGTCTTGACTTTCTCAACTCTCTTGCCTCTGTGACCACTTTGAATCTAATCAAAGCATCATCTACCTCGAACTGCATACATATCAACGGTACAGTGACTTAAAAATGTATCTATCTAAATCTAGATTCCTTTTTCTGATAGATTGTTGACCACATCAGTTCAGTTTCTTAAACACTTTGCAGTCACACCACAGCCAGAGGAGTACAAAATACACCATCTTGTCACCCCCATCCAGGAGAGCGACTGTACCAAACTTCTCGGGCCTGGCGCAGAAGTGCGCCAGGTAACCGGAACGGATAATTTTCACCAGCACATTATTGCACCAAGTGACTGCAAAGTGTTATAAAGCCAAGCCAACTGCAGTGATGGGTAATAATGGTAAAGGTAGAAAAGAAAGTTGGAGGTTTTTTGCCAACATGAATTCCTGTGTGAACCATTTTCTTTCAGATAGGCGTAGATCTAGATCTATATATTTTAAGCATCAATACTTTATCAAATTTTCAAAAGGAGGTTATATTATTTTGTCAGAATGTATGCATCGGGCAGCATTGTGTACAGGCCTACTGTATGAAAAGCATTATATAAATAAATCAAACATTGTAATTTATTTTTTGAAGGGGGAAACACTCGATAACATTCCCAGTCTCCTTTCCTGGTCTCAAGACAACCTTTCCTTTTCTTTGTGTCCTTGTGAAAAGTCTAAGTTAAAGAGGTCAAACTATTGCAAAATGAAAATTGCACCGGTAAGTTATGAAAACAGTAGAGTGTGATTTTCACTCTATCTCTGCATTTGTTGGATAACTTGTAGTTAAATTAAACAATGAGCTACTATCTGGGAATGGAAAAAATGTATCGACCTGGTTGTATTGCTTGAATTCTGCTACTATCATACCGAATAGGGTGGATGATGTTGAATTTCTTGCGTTGACCTTTGACTTTGAGTACTACCTCCCTGCCTACTTACCTCCCTGTATACTTGCCCGTCTGCCTTTCTGTCGTTCCATTGTTTTCATTAATAGAAATATATAATAACTAACTAAAAGAAAACTTTTGTTTTCAACTGAAATTCAAAAAGAGGGTTTTAGCTGATAGTTCTCTTGTCTGATATATGTACAGCTAAAAATCTGTAACTATTCTTGTCTTTATATATATTGTTGCAAGTGGTACTAATTCTACACTTACTTACCTTAACACTACTTTTTAGAATACCTACTTCATATCCTACATCTTACATCGTATAATTGTCTTTTATGGTATGGCTTTTGGAAGGACCTCATTGTGGAATCTAGGACATGATCAGTGAAAGATAATTTAAGTTTCTTAAACAATAGACTGATTGTAAAGTGCTGCTAAGCTGGGACATACATACACTGGAAGCGAATGCTGTCTATTAATATGCAATGGACTTGATGTTTAAGTATTTATCTATGACAAGCTGCTCTCAACGACCCGTGGTCAGAACTGCTCTGCTGGTGAGACGCTGTTAACGGCTGACACACATTGCACAAGAACTTCAGCATTATAAGTTTTCGACAATTGCCAAAAACAGGTCTCTTTTACAGGGAGTTTTTTCATTTGATGAAGAGCTGTCAAATAAATTAATTTCTTTTGATTTAGTGACATATTTGACACTTTAAGGTTGCATATTCAAAAGAGGGCTCCGGCATAGAAGGGAAACCTCCTCCGGAGGTAAAGAGTTTAGGAAAATATCAAGACACTTAACAACATGGTAGTCCACAATTTTTTGCGACATATTTATATACACATAAATATTTTTCATTATATATTATATCTCATTAGGCCAAATGGGAAGGGTGCGAAAATCTTTTCAATATATATACGAATTTCATTATGTACATTTAATAAATGCAAAGGAAGTACATGTAATAAATACGAAAACATGTAATTAGAATAAATTCAGGAAATGAAATTCTGCTCTGTTGCATGTTTTGCGATATGCGTATTCACAATGTGCGTATGTGCGTGTGTGTCTGCACGTGCTTGAAGCAGACCTGTCAGGTACTCCAATAAAACCAGAGCTGTGCTTTTTTTTTGGGGGGGGGGGCATCACAGAACCCCGGATTTGCATACTATCTGGGGTTTTTTTTTTATATTCCTGAATTCTATTTCGGTCAGGTCGTAAGCAACTTATCATAAATGAAGTTAAGGTACACTTTTTTTTTGTTAACTCTTTATCTCCACCACGCCGGGGCCCTTTTTTGGTGCTAAATTTTGAAATGACAAAAAAGTCATTAAATGGGTCATTAAATCGCAACTAGCAAACCTATTTTGATAGTTCTTCATCTAGTGATTGTATTTTCGGTATAAAGACCGGTTTTTGGCAATTACCAAAAAGTAATTTGATGTTGAAGTGGTGGTAAAGGAATGTGCTCACAGGCACAGTGGTTCCGACCGCGAGCCGCTGGTAGCGGCTTGCCGGAGATAAAGAGTTAATTTACCCTAGTGTTGCGACTTATTGTAAATTACGTAAAAATCCACATTTTTATTTGTGTTTATTTTCCAGGGTTGGTTCGTTTTACTATCTTTCCTGGGGTTCTGGACACTCCGGGTTTTTTTTCCTAACTCCCAATTTTTTGTAGGGAGGATTTTGAGGGAAAGACCTATTTTTGGTAATGAAGTGGTGTGCAAGTTTGTTGTATTGTATAGGCCTAGTCAGTGCCTCCCTCCCCATGCACTTTCTTCTCTGTAAATCTGGTAGTTACAATATATTTGTTTGGGATTTTTTTTTTTTTACAAAATTATGAAAGGTGAATGAGAGTGTTTACTTTTCAATGCTCCTTTCGACGCTCATACTGCATGTACCCCCACCCATTTTTCAAACGTTTCTTATTGCCTGTTGTTCAGAGCTAATTCCTGTACTGGAAAGCCAAAGGTTTTTTGCATTAGTAGGCCTATGTAGGCCCATGTATGAAACGGTGCCTTAAGAATAAGAGCATAATAATTAGTTTCTTTTTCCCTGCTTAAACAAGTTGGTTTATCTTTGAAATATACTCTGTTACATGAGGAAAGCAGGCTTCTGGGTGAGTGCTGTACTGATACTGATTTGACAAAATATTTTGCTGGTATCATGTGAATTCTGGTATATTATTATAAGCTTGTTTCCAGTACCAGATGGGCTCAGAGAGCTCCCTCCCACTTAAAAAAAAAAAAAAAGAAGATGAATGCTCAAACTTATTTGCGTCATATAAGGAAATAGTGTGTGCTTTAAATTTGATTGTGTGCTTTTTTTAAAATACAATAATTATACTTTTAATATGTTGTAAGTAATGTCGCTATGACTGTTTGTCTCAACATTTTTTTGGAGGTCAAGAAAAAGAAAACAAATGTGTGCACGTGTCACATACAATGCAACCACAGTATCTTATTTCCTCCCCAGGAAAAAGCAATAATTGATAGTGTCTGTGGAATCCTGTAAGGAGGAAGTCTTCAAGTAATAATAATTTTGCTCTGATTAAAACAGTGTTCTCAGTCCTTTTTTTAATTCTTAATAATTCTTCCACTATCATGACCTTACTTCTTTGAAAGAATACTTCATATTTTAATGCTGTGGAACGACAGCCTTTTACTGAGCTACTAAATGGATTAATAAAGGTTTAACTAATATTACAGAGATTAGGTGGAGATATTAAAAATAAAATTTTTTAAAAACTTTCCATTGGTGTGTCTGTCTACAAGGTCTTTGATGTAGATATAAACTTCTGGTAGCCTACTTATAAATTTTCTCTCTGCTGTTCAAGGGAGATAGAAGATACAGAGTAAACACAAAAAAGCAGGGGATACAAACGCAGTTACCTCCCTTAGGTAAAACCTGAAAACGTGTCTCAGTATGTTCACCACAAACTGCTTCAGTTTTTCAGAGGAAAAATTTGATGAAGATGCTTTTACACAGAATGTGGGTGGTGGGAGGCTTCTGTGGGTAGGGTGTAGACCTTATTTTTTTCTTTAACTTACTTTTTCTAGAAAAATTAAATGATTGTAATAATGAACAAACCAATACATAATGCTGGGGACATGCTTCTACTCTGAGTCTGAGCTTTCATTTTAAAAAAAATAAATATATGCAAGTGACTGGATTTTAAAACCAACAGATTGCTGTGGTCTTGACAGTGTTTTAATTGTTTTCAGTATGTGGGTAGCAAATGTTGGTCAATGTCTGTCTCTCAAGTCACAATCTCTTTCTTTTCATTAAAATCATTTATATACATGATATATATGTATAGATTATGTTGTGTGGTGTTGTTAAAGATAATGGTAAAAAAAATCTCTTTTAGGGTCCTGTTTTGATTGGTGTTCTATATTCGTAATTCTGGATTATGAGCATGTGAAGATGGAGTAATATATGAGGCATCGTAGTAAAATCAGATGCTCGTCAAAATTTAATAATGAAATCAAAGAAACCTGCATTTTTCTGCCGGTTTGGCATTTTTTATTGAATACTTGTTTTTTCGGCTCAACATGTTGTGTGATCATGTAAAAACATATTTCTGTTTGGATTTTACTGAAAAAGGTTAATTAAAGGCACAAAATATGTAAATTTGCAGTTTCCAAGGACTCTCAAGGTTTGGAAGTCACCAAACTTCGGCTGCCATTTTCTCACAAATTTTACCTGACACCAGTGTTCCCCACCTTCTTTAATCACAAATACTGTGACTGCTGTTCAAGATTGATGTTTTGTTCATCTAAAGTAGGACAAATGAATAAGCTTTTAGATAAAACCAAAAACACCACACGCCCAAAAATTGACGAGGACCTGATTCAACCGCGTCGTGACACATATCGGTTTTTATACTCTGGAAGTTTTGTTTCTTTGATCTGCATGTGATATCACTTTTATCTAGCGATGGGTACTTATTAGCCTTCTTTTGCATTATAACTCTTTGGTGCCAGTGCACTTGACACTCAATGTATTTGATGGTGAGATCTGCCTGTGCTGTTTGACACTGTGTCTATTGGTTAGGGTTACAGTTAAAGTTACGGTTAGGGCCAGGGTTGTCGATTTTCGTTAACTAGTAGACTGTCAAGTGGAACATTTATCAGACTGGTCTGTAGAACAGAAGCAATGCGGTGGTAGACTGTCAGGTCCCTGGCATTGACTCTTGCAGTAGAGTAGCGGTTCCTCGTGTTTTTGTAACTCGTGCAACATACCTGAATGCTTTTAAGTTTTCTGGGACCTTAAGAAAGAATATACTGTAGATATAAATCCTCCTAATGATAAAAACCTTTGAGGGAGGACACAGGTGGTGAATATGCAACTCACTTGTTACCAAACCAAGAAGTGCTAAATTTAGTTTTAAATCTAAATAAACAAGCATTCAACATGATAACTATGTATTTGTTGCTAAAAAAAAAGGCAAGACAAACGGACAAAAAAACAACAGAGGATAAAAAAGCCGTGGGACCTGCCTGTGGCATCCTTCAACCATTCATGCACTTATAGGATTGATGCATAGGTATAGGTAGAAGAAATTAACTGGAGTTGAGGAAGGTATATGTACCGTAACATGATGTGAACATAATTAACATAATTTTAGTAGACACTTACACGATGTCAACAGTCTTTCTTATGTTCTGTCCACTACTGTGGATATCTTTGTTATCCCTCCTCGAACTCGATCTGGAATAATGGTCTCTGTCACTAGTGTTGCAAAGCCTTAGCTAGACCATTTGTTTCCGTCTGTCATCAATAACAGAAGTTCCAATTTCTGTTTGTCGTCAGAGTATCCTGAAAATGAAAAGACAAAAAAACATTGAATAATAGTGACAATGTTTATATGATGGAGGATAAATGTCAGTATGTTGTCTATCGGAACTGAAGCCTACACTGTATTAATGCTGGTTTTTTCTTTATATTTTTCCTGTGATTGTTTTTGTGTTTTTTTAGTTTCCGTCATTTGATAGATTTTTAAAAAATTCAAAGTTACATAAAAAGCATTGCATTAAACTGGGAATGTTAAGTGCCCTTTCCGAACTACAGAAAATGCTTTGTAAACTGAATATAATACTGCGGTACATTTTCCATTGAATTCTATAAGGGAAGTTTATCACAAACTTTTGTTCCAGATGCAACCAGGAAATGCACTTACTAATCACTGAGACCATACATAGCATAATATTTAAGATATATATTTATATTATTATATTGTTTGTCAAGAGTTGCTGTTAAAAATACCCTGCAGCTGCAAAGGAGGCAGAATATTGGAAAAAAGGTAACGATTAATTTGAATATCCAACCACTAGTGCGAGCTTGATTTTATCTATACTTCACTGCTCACAGTGTATCAGTAACTGATCTTGTTGAAATGGTGGGAGAATGTGTTAAAGACTGAAACGCGCTCACCATTTAGAAAAAGAGATGTCCACGGTATTCACGATAATAACTCGTCGACAGACTTTGAAAGTGATCAAGCATACAAATGGGTACGATGAAAGACAAATTGGACGTCTGAGAAGAACATGTTCTACTTTCTAAATAAAGAAAGTCGTGCTTTCTTATACACGTTTTATTCCTGGCTTACCGGTCACGATTTGTATTTGTAGGCCTTTCTCTCGCTTCGTGATTTTCCGAGTTTTAGCGGATCCAGAACGCGCACGCACCCTCCCTCGAACGGTATGTATTCAACAGCACCCGTTCCCTCTCTGTTATCAACAGTATTAGTCGACATACCTTTACATTACGCGCAGTTCCTTACAACCTCTTTTCTAACTGGGCCTCTCGAGCTTGTCACAAGGGATTTGTCTGGCCCAGATAGATGAGTACCCATTGATAGTCACAACATACCCGACGCTAAGTTTAAAGGGCCGTGCTTTGAGTGTTTTATGCGTTTCAGATAGTCCTATGATTATTTTACTATTACTTTATTTGCTGGCTATAGCGTCGGCCGCTTTTGGGAGGGTCTGCAATGTTGTGTTATACATTAGGCGATTTGTATGCTCGAGGGCATCGGTAAATAGACTTGTTCTTTATCCTGGTGACCCACTGCCCCCGTGTCTTTCAGTCAATATTGAGTGTCCCACATTTTGTACAATACGTACATGTACAAATATTAATGCTGCGTTGTTATCGCCAGATGCAAGGTTAAAAAGCTATCGAGACAAAAGAGTGAGATGTTGAAACAGAGGCAGAGAACATAAGAAAGACTGCTGACATCTGTAAATGTACATGTATTTATGTGTAGTTTTAGAAAAATTCTGCTTAGACTGGAATAATTACATTGATTCATTTATATTTCATTATTTTGGGGGTCACAATTTGTTGTGATCAAAATTTTGGTTGACTTTTAAAATGCATTTTCAACGTTTTTGTTTTGTTGCTGTCTGTTTTACGGGGAGGGGCGGGGGTGTACTCACCTGCGTTTGCAGCTGACAGGTCGTGCTTTTAGAAGTCTTAGCGTTTACTCAGAAATACCACTTTTTCTTTTCCCAACTGACAAAGCCTATCTGCTTTTCTCTTTACACTTATACCCTGCTCCGGTTTATCGCTCAATGAATTTCTTTTTCTTCATATATACCTATATAATAAGTGGCCTCGATTCCCGTCTTTCGTTTACCGCGTCCTCTCCGCTCTTGTCAGGGCACTGATAGTGCTGTGCAAACAACGTGTATTTTTGTTATAGAACGAGCACAAAGCGATGAGTTATTTGAGGAATGTAACCGGGTGTAGCATCATCTACGGATGGGTACACGGAGGCACAAACCGATGTCAGAAGTGGCAAAGTGAAAAAGTCGGAAGAGAGAACCGTCCGGGTTGGGGGGTTTTTTTGTTGTTTTTTCGCCGACTCGGACGTGTTTGGAAAAACGTAGATCTCCGAGGGTCCAGTAGTAGTAGTGGTAATAGTAGTGTCACTCTCCGATAATTGTTGGGTAGAAGCCTCTGATCTTGCGCTTGGCGGTTTTGGCTTTACGGAGACTAAACGTTGACAGTCGAATAAATCGATAGATTGGTTTGAAGCTCAGCCATCTGTCGACGTTGTTACATGACGGCGTTTGTTGGGGAGTGAAAAAGAAAGAAGGGGAGAAGGGGCATGGGGGTGGGGACAGCCCAACGTGAGTCAATGAGATGGCTTGCGTAATGGATGTGGGTGTGTGTGTATGTGGAAAGAAAGGGGTTGGGTTGGAGGGG